ACGGACGCACCTGGCCGTCGGGGAGCGCCACCTTGACGGCCTTGTCGTCGCCGTCGCCGCGCGCGCCCAGCTGCAGCGAGCGCCGCGAGGAGCCGCTGTTGGAGCGCGACAGCGCGGGCGGCCGGCGCTTGGTGGCGCCGCGCCCGGCCAGCAGGTTGTTCAGCAGCGACGGGCTGCGCGCGCAGATGAACGCGTGGAACGACGACACGGTGAACACGCCCAGCTTGTTGAGCGTGTTCTTGGTGGCGCGCGACACGTGCGTGAGCAGCGACTTGGGGTTAGGCAGCTCGCCGCTCTGCAGGCTGGCCATGTAGCAGCGCAGCCGGAACTGCTCGCAGTGCAGCCGCTCCAGGTTCTCCTCCCACTGCACGATCTGCCCGTTGATCTGCGCCTTCGTCTCGGGGTCCGACACCACCGACTGCTGCAGGTCCGCCATGTGCTTCAGCTTGTGGTCCTGCGCACAGCCGGCGCGCCGATCGCGTTCGTCCTCGCGCAGCACAAGCAGCCGCTCACGCAAAGGGAAGAACGGGGACTGAGGGTGATCAAAAGGGGTCGGATTTTCATGACCTAAAACATCGCCAAAAATGATCGATAAAATATTCTTAAAATGGTTTTTAAAATGCCCTAAAAGTAAATAAAATGATGTAAAAAGTGAACAGAAACAGGATCGGATAAACAACCCTATCTTTTGCTGATGTAATCGAGGATTCTTTCATCCGTTCAAGTGAACTCAACTCGTAAACTTTTTGTCTGGGTTGTTCTTTACGAGAAAATATGTCTTTAGTTATCCCCACTTAGGCTGAACCGACAATGGCGCTTATTTACCTTCGATTACATCTCACAATGGCTGACGAAGAAATCGAATTGGCTACTCAGGAATTCTGAGGAGAACATTTCTTGCAACTCTTAAATATTATTTAAAGCAAAAACCACTAAAAACACAAAAAGGACATAAAAACAGGACATTTTCTTTTGTCATTTCATTAAATTAATTTCTATACTAAACGGTAGTAGTAGTAGTAGTAGTAGTAGTAGTAGTAGTAGTAGTAGTAGTAGTGGTGGCGAGGTTCTTTCAAAGCGGCTGGCTGTGCTTCTCGATCAGTCACCACGTCCTTCTATCTTCCCTATCTTTCTTTTGAAGATCTCGTTCCTTCATTGCATTTTATACCTCATTTTTCCATGTTGTTTTCGTATGCCACGCTTCCTGTTTCTTTGCGGTATTAATTTTAAAATTTTCTTAGGCCACCGACTATTTGTCAATTAAAAAGATCTAATCATTACGTTTGTAAAATTTCATGGCTCAATAAATTTGAGGAAACAGAACGGTGACAAAGCTACTTGCAGAAACATAAAAGCAACTAAAAATATTTCCAACTTCCCGAAATTCAGCTAACTTTTACTTATTAACGTATCACGCTATCTACACACGTTGAGAACTTTTGGAAGACTGTGACAGCGCTATTTTCATTGACTCGGTGGCCTGCTGCAGGCAGTATATCTCCCTCTTCAGCAGGTGTAGCGCGCCAGTCTTTTCTTTATGGACATGAGAGGCTGGGAGAGAAATGAGGGATGACTCACCGACTCGATAGCCTTCTCCAGGCGGAAGATCTCCTCCTGCAGCAGGTGTAGTGTGCCAGTTTTCCCGCGGTGGCGCGCGAAGGCTGCAGCGCACGCCGAGTGGATGCTGTTTACCCAGTTTTCCAGCTCCACCTGGCAGACGAAACGCCATTTGACAGATGTATACCAAAGTAATTCCCAATTCCGGGACCAACTAATGATGAAGGAAATTGAATATCACAGAAAAATGTCAATATAATACAAAGGGAAATTTTATATCTTCACGAACTAATTATATATATATATATATATATATATATATATATATATATATTGTTATATATATTCATTAAAAATTGTTGTCAATGCCGTACTTTCACCGGGACCTAGGTGGCCTGTTGGTTTTTGTAGTTCTAGTTCACAATGTACCATGTTGCTACGAATTCTCAACTTTTATTCTAATTGAAAACATCGGCAAATGCAGTTAAGAACGGTTTAGAATTGCCTTGTGAATATGGGAATATTGTAGTAAGAAAATAACTACTATTAAGTGTTAAGCAAATTTTTATAGTAAAAGACCTAAACGATGAAAGAGTAACTCCATAAACAAGTGCTGGAAAACTACGCCGGAGTTCTCGTTTATCTCTGCCAGTTGATACGTGACTGTTAATGACGATTTGTACTAAGTCAATAAATAAATACATTATTTTGAATAGGGTAATTGTGATTCATTATTTTCAGGCCATTTAATTTATAAATCTATTAATTTTTTCGGTATGTTACATTGATTAATTAATTTCGAATACTAATAATCAAGTCAAACAGTAAAACTTGTTCTCTACTCACATCATAGAGTAAGTAAATTCATTGTCTGTTTATCTCTCACATACTACAGAAAAATAATACAGAGAAACTCAAGCGATTGATTTCATTTCATATTAGCAAAACTGTTAAAATGATAAGTAAAAATGCATGTTCTGATATTTTAGTTCTAGCTTTTTTAATAAGTGAAATTTTGATTTAGTTTATTTTGACATCATATGAAAAAATGTATGAATCAATAATTTTATGTTTTTATTATTTAGAAAAATAATCGAAACAACTAGATTATTCTATTATATGAAATGATTAATCGTTGCAAAACAGTAGTGAGTTTTTGTATGGCTAAGCGTTACAGCAATCGACCGCCTTGTCGATCTTCTGAGCATGCGCTGTTCAAGTTTCGCACCACTTTCGTGCCCCTGCGCATGCGCAGAATATCAAAATTGCAGTCAATTGATGCGTGGTGGGGCGCGCCCGAGCTGCCTGATTGGCTGCGCTGTACCTGGCAGGGCGCCTGGAAGAGGTATGCGTCCCCGAAGGCCGTGCTGAGGCAGAAGATGTAGTCGCGCTTGGGGTGCTCGGGGATGGGCTGCATGATGGCGCCGTCCACGATGATGAGGTGTTTGGGCGCCGCCTCCACCGACCGGCCCTCGCGGCTGTCGCACGGGTAGAAGAGCAGCGTGGTGCCCTTGAGGCACACCCAGTAGCCCTTCCAGCCGCGCTTGCGCGCCAGCTCGATCTGGTGCTTCTTGCGCAGCAGCCACTTCTTCACCGACAGGAACCTTCGCAGACGCCCACGCCCACGCGCCTTTTTACGCGCGCTCGCAAACTCTCTCAAGCCGTCTCTCACTCTCGCATTCCCTCTCGCTCTCACACTCGCTCTCAGCGCGCTTTCTCGCTCGCTCTCACGCCCACTGTTACGTTCATTGCTCGCTAGTGCAGTAATGTTTTATCCTTCAAGGAGGCGATGTCCCTTCCCGCTCGATGATAAGATACGTCTGCAATGGTCAGCAGTCCCGTTTGTGTAGTGCGTCGCGGGTGGTGGATGAGCTCTTCTCTCCAGAGGATTTCTTTTCCATTTAATTCTCCCAGAGGGGCATTGCCCCAGCCGGGTCGTACTCTAAGCTCGCTACTGATCTCCCGGTATGTGTGGTAGTGTACTCCATGTAAGTGTTTGTGAGTAACGGGAGTATAAGGGACAAGGAAGAAAAAGCAAAGATCGCGTATCGCGACGAAAGTATATCGTATGTTTCTGAACCGCCATTCGACATGTACCGACTGGAGAAGACAGGGTAAACAACCGCTCCAATTCTCTTTGAGAGAGCGGCTGAATGCGGCCTACGAATGAAGCTCCTGTCAACATGCGCCACTGTCGCGACTCGACCTCTAAGGATCGCACGTCATCAGCAAGTCATCAGCATTGGCATTCAGCCTTGGAGCTGAAGTGCGATGCAGTGGTTTTTTGCAAGGCGGTCGCTCGCCAACGACGCCGCCACATACCAGTGTGGCATCGTCGCAGACACACGAAGGAACAGAGCACATCGATATCTCTCTGGAAATTTCACTAATGTTGGAAGAATCACTTCAGATATTTGAATATTTTTGTAGAATATTGAGACACACACCGGTGGTACAGGGCATCAATAATTGATGTCATTGTAGTGCATCTGAAAGGGAGATCCCGCAGTTTCACTCACGACGATGGCAGGTTTTTCGATACTATCTACACAGGTAGGTCGAATTTAGCCGGTGACTGAAGGAATTCTAGAGGACGGTTGTTCTGATCGGTATTTTTCGTGGTTTCTCCGATCAACTTTAGCGAATGCGAAAGCAGTACCCTAATAAAAGGCAACGGAACGTGCGCAATTTTTCCTTTGTCTTCCTTCTCCTATTCTCTCCCCTTACACACACACAAACGCACACACTTACTCACATACCCCACATGTCGGGAGCTTACAGCTTCACTCGTCTGGGGCGGTGCCTCGTCGGTTGAGAGACACCTCCCTGCGGAAAATCCCTCCACGTCGACGTGTAGGTCGTTGCTGGATCTCGTCATCCAGCGGGGGACGTTCAGAGCCCTCTCCCGCAACGAAAACGTGCACTACATGGTACTGACCCTGCCTTGCGCACGGCGCCGGTGCAGTTGAAGGAGGCGGCGGCCGTGCCGGTCTGCTTGGCGCGGTACGGCGAGTTGTGCACGCTCTCCGCGTCGTCTTCGTCGCTCACCGCCGTCGTCAGCGACATGCGGTCGTCGTCCGACATCTGCCACACACAGCCACCACGCCCTCACTCCCTCGCCCACGCGCCTCGCTCGCTTCATTAAGCATACGCACGAGCCTGTGTACGTGTATGTATTTACGTGTATGTAGATGTATTTGAAGCGGTATGTACGTGTGCAAGTATAAGAATATGTTACAGCTGTATTGGCTAATAAGCTATTATGTAAATTCGCTAGTCAATATGCATTAATACTGAATCAGCTAGTCAGAATGATTCATGACTTCAAGGGGGAATTAGACCCATTGACGCCAAGAACAGCGCTAACAACAACCCGGCGAACTACCCACTAGCGAGCGGCGTCTTGAAGAAACCTGACACTTTTAAGGCGCAATTGACACTTTGCTACGCATGTTGATGACGAAGCTAGCGCAAGAGAGTCTGCATAATTTCTTGACCATTTTAGGCTAAAATAATTTTGCCGATTTTTTTCATAACGAAATGTTCGAAAAAAAAAAGTTTTTGGCACAAAATTAGTTTGGAAGACTAAAGGATGATTTATGTTAATTGCGTAGGTATCCAACTTGGGTACGTACGCAATTAAAGTAATATAATTTACATTTCATTAATTAACAATTAACATAACACAACTAGTAGCGAAGCATCAAATGCGACTTAAACGTGTGAGGGTAAATGAGGCATTGCGGTTCGGCTGCACAGGACGAGTAATTTACAGGCATCCTTCTTCCCTCTTCTCCAAACTCCAAAAAGAATTATTAATTTGACCAAGTCAGATTTGATACTACACAAATTTGTGAGACGTAGTACATTGCTTTTAAGACACAAACTTTGAGAAATTTCTCTCTCTATATATATACCCGTATAGATAATATTATTAATTCACCTCCATTAATTCTTTTGACCAAATATTGTAGATAATTGTCACAGTGGCTAGATTAATTTCTTAGTAACATATTCAAATATCATTTGCATGTTTTTTGTACTGGAAATGACACACTTATTGTCAATTAGTTTGAAAGGCTTATTTGTAAAGTAATAACATTCCTGTAATGTGCGACTGAGTACTGTACGACCAAAAGTAGAAAATATAATCTATCCTATTTTTCAAGTTATTTTAGAATTTTAAGAATGCGGCACTTACATCTGCAGTAAAAATTATGTTCATCAAATGTTACAGTGAAGTCTTCAGATAGTAATCAAAAGGTTTTCTTTGAAAGAGATATTGAAATCAAACGTTTAATTTCTTAATCATAATTAAGGAGCTCTGATATTGGAAAAAATGAATGGAATAGCTCAGTCATGAAACAGAACCTTAATATAGAACGATAAATAAACAAGAGGGGTTCTCTATTTTGTTATATGCATATTAAAATTAACATGGGGTTTTCCATAATTACATTAACCATAATTATAGCATTTGGTGATGAAACGTCACCTTTTTTTAGTAACTAAAGAACAAACGTAGTAGTATAGAAATTCACGAATCTTCACATATTTTAATGAATGAATTTATAAAAAAATTAAGTTACTCGTAAAAAACCGACTCGGCTGGCAGAACTACATGGCCTCAGCTCAAGTGCAAACACTCTGGTAGTGTCAGTAGTGTTCTGGTAGTGTCTGGTAGTGTTCTTCCGGTGACGTCATCGGAAACAATTTTAACGTTTTCTCCGGAAAACGGCCGAAGCCATGGGCTGTGCTAAGCTTGATCTTGCGCGGTGAATGATGTTTTGAAGGAAGTCATGATAAATATTTCTACGTTCTGCTTCACCAATGAACAGTGTACGTTGTCTACTTAGGCGTGTATTGAATGCGTTGCGAGATATCGTCATGTAGAGCAATGTATTAAGTTGGCGTTTCATTGTTTGTTGTTAGTGTGAAAAAGTTACTTATTAGGATAGAAATAATCAGCAATCACATGTTACGGTGCGTGCTGGTAATTGCTCGCGGGAAATTAAGAAAATAACATTCACATGCAAACGCAGAAACGGATCTTTTAATCACACTTATGTAAACTCACCTGCGTGTTTACAAATACGCAATACAACAAAAATCTGTAAAATAATTTTTAGTACATTTTAAAACAGGTATTCACAAATCTTCAAACAAGTTAATAAATTAATCACATAAAAATAACTTTCACGCCGGCTCTATTTGAGATACTTTCGTTTCTTTGTGTGCTCCGACAACGCCGGGTGTTTTGTTAGTATTTAAACTTGCAAAATTCGCATGACTACAAATCACAATAAACGAATAAATTCAGCAGCACATTTGAAGACGACTATACACTATCAATACATATAATAGCTGCTTTATACATTAACTGGACTCTAGTTCAAAACATTAGAATAATTAACGTTACCTTAAACATTTTCAATTATTTAATAGCACGTTATAAAGGTGGCTGACACTAACATTAAAGGTGTTTATGTCTCATACTCCGTACATTTCATAGTACTGAACAACAGAGGTGTTCAAACTAAAATTTCATTTCACAAATACACTAGGCTGCCTTCCGAAGCGACCAGGTTTACACAGACACTCTTCACTTGGACAAAGTAGTGTTTGTATTTTTTCAGAGCATCATTCATCAGTTGATGCATAGACTAGGTTCGTAAGGGTGAACAGAAGTACATTTGGTTAAAAAAATTGATCTAATGACTAAATTGGCTGCCGCAGCTGCCTCGTGCCTGAAGGGTCGCAGGTTTGATTATTTCCCGGATGTTTGTGTGTGTCCATATATGAGTATGCATGTTCTTCTACCGTTACCATTACATCCAAGTTACAAAACCAATATTATAGTAGTTTCTGACCGACCTTAGTAATTGAAAGCTACGTTCAATGCGTAATGAAAAATGTATACCTAATACGACCGTTAATACGTAATATAATAAATGGCATGCTTCTTTCTCCATGTATGAGGTGCATCCAGAGAGGAAGTTCCGACCACGTGCAGAAATGGCATGAGTAGTCGGGAGGAACGTACAAGCGCATAGTAGAGAGGAGGTATGTGGGACTAACGCAGTGCAGTTTTAGTCTTGTATCGGCAGTGGTTACAGCACAGTGCAGTGACTTTCGTGTAGTCATCCGATTTTCTCACGCTCAGAAGCAACCTCCAGTGGAGATCCATCGCCAATTGAGCCACGTTCACTGACACGACACGATGTCGACAAGCATTACGCTTGTGTAAGACAAAGCAATACCTCATACACCCATCGCCACACGAAATGTGTTGAATGAGTTTCGATGGGAGGTCTTGGAGTATCCGACCACGCATCAAGTGAATTTCATCTCTCTCGTCTCCTGATGCGTTTTCTGGCAGGAGAACGTTCTCACAGCGTCGCTAAGGCGTCGACGGAAGTGGCTTCGTGACTCCGGACGTTTTCACCGGATTCCTCTGGCTGGGGCACGCAATTGACGGTACATCGTTACGAGAAATGCGTCAACAGTGGTGGCGACTACGTTGAGAAGTAGCCACTGAATATATGTAAATATTCTAATAAAATGTCTTACTTAGTGATGTTATTGTTTTCTTTATCGGTCATCGGAACATACTTTCTGGATGAACGTCATAAATTGATGTTTTTAATATGACTGTTGCGGAGTATTTCTTAGCATGCTATGTTTGTTAAAAGAATGGCAGTGAGAATACTTAGTCAGGTGTATTACTTCCAGAGGTGTGGCGACGTCATTTGCTGTGACGCCGGATTTTGTTGAACAGTCGCATGCCAATGGGAAGGAATGGGGTTAGGGAGGATCCAGTGTAGGTTTTTTTGTCTGCCTTTGTGTCGCTAAAGAATTATCATTTCATCTTTTAAAAATTTTACTATTATAAAATTTCTGAATCCTTAGTGATAATTCATCAGGCATTTTTTTCAAATGTTTATAAAATAATCGAAACAGTCACTGTGCTTACGTGGAAACTACAGGATTCTGATACAGAATCACAAAATCCCTGCACACAATTAAATTGAAAACTTATTTCAGTATCTGTCGATGTACAATCAGAGCAACGTAACGATAGTTGAAATATATAGTTTTTCAAGATTGGACGTGGACCTTTGTGTCCACGTCACATGAAACACTGGTACAGAAAATGTTCAGGATATGTATGTATTTGCCATTCCTCAAATACTGACAATAACTTACCACTATCGTGCAAAAACATGTGTAATATATTGATAAATACATGTGACTAATTGTTAAATACTGGCGTAGACAAATTATTAGCAAAATCATTCCTTATACTCATTATAACTTTAACGGTATAAGCGTACTAGTTGAACGGGGGAAAACTTATATTTCTATGTGTTGTGTGAACATTCGGAAATGCGACCCTCGATTAAAATGTTCATTTAATGGAATATATGTTTTATAACAGATGTATCCACTGCAATGAACATGACATTTAAACAATATTTTTATGTTTTCTTGAAGGAGTCATTGGGTGCCATAATTTGTTTCTCAGCGCATGGAGCTTGCCATGCAATACGTCAATCCTATCAAGGCATCATCTCAATCCACTTCAGCTAAGAGAGCTGAGGCCCACACCCAGCTGAATGAAAGAAAGATGAGGGTAATGGGCCTAATTGGGTCTATTGTAAAGGTTCGTGAGGCAAATTTTCGAAAAAGTTAAAGGAAGAAAAGCAGACAGCAACTTCAGAGGCAGGAAACAGAGAACTACACAAAACGTTTTAATCTGTCTTTGGCTAAGAAAAGCATACATAAATAGAATTTTAACACCGTATCATCCTCTAAGTGTTGTCCAAGAGGATGGAGTACAAATTTATGCGACAACTGTAAAAAGGAGGTGATTAGAAGGTGGCTTAAACATGCTATAATACTCGAATAAACAATAATTGACTGCTCCGGTGATCAAAAAACGACTTAAATGGGTCAAGTTGCACCAACTATGGATAACAAAACAGTGTAGAAGGAATGTAGGTAATTTTGTATAATTCATAAATAAAATTTCGTTCTCCCCGATATCAGAACGTTTGTGACGGAAATAAAGGAGTTCGTCTACT